CACCACCTATAAACAAGCATGTGTCTTTTTTCTCTTCTTCCCCCCCGCCACTTTTTTTTTTTTCCTTCCCTTTATAAACTGTCCTACCACAACGGTGCCTAAATTCACTCTTTATGCAGGCAAAACATGTTCATACGTGGGAGAAATGATGCTTCTGCTCAATGACAAATTCCCAGTACTTTTAGTCATGCCATAATTTCATAGTAAGTGCAACCACTTGGGTTTAGTTGTAATAGGACATTCATATCCAAGTAAAAAATCAAATACCTCTCTACAGAGGGAGCATCTAGGTGCTGCAGGTTGGTTTATTTTAGTATTGATGCAAGTTTACTCATTTGTCCTTCCAAAACCAACTTTTTTTTTTTTTCTAAAATAATCTGTTTCAGGGTGTACTCTAACAGCACCCACTGCCAGCACTGCGCAGCCCTCATTTTTAAGCCAGGCTGAGTAAAACATACTTCTGAAAATACATCTAGCCGTTTGGATACTAGGTTGTCTCTGAAGGCTGAGAAAGTCCATTTTCTGCATCAGTGACAAAAAGACAGGGCACAGGATGGTCACTGACTTTAATAGGAGCAGGACAGGCTGCAGCTTAAAAGGAACCTGCTCCAGATGATGCGCCTGAGCTTGTGATTTATTATTAGTCTTGCAACACCAGTGTTGTAACAGATACCGCTTTTGGGTGAAAGTCGACAGGGCTGTCAGAGAGTTGTTGAATGTGTGCACAAAGCAGGAGTAAACAATCTGACACCCTCTACCCAAGAATATTTACTGCTACAGCCATGAAGAACCATCAAATCTACATTTTCCAACAAAAGTAAGATTCCTCCTATCCTGTTAGAGCATTACAGATTTACTCGACAACAGGTAGGGAACTTCAGGCCCTTGGTATTCATTGTTAGGTTTGGTTTCTGGGTAAAACGCTAAAAATAAAATTCAAGTTCAATAACCACTCTCCTTGCAAAACATGTGTCACCTATAAATATCCATCACATATGGCTATGTGCTACAGCTCCCTCGTTTACACTTTGTCTGCAGGTGGCAAACTAAACCCAGAAAATAAATATACTCTAACAGAAGAGTTAAATGTTAAAGAAATATTTAAAGTCAGACAAGCATTTTCACATCAGAGGAAATCTGACTTAAGTACCATCACCTTCACCAGACTACCACACAGAAAATGTTCAAAAGGACTTGAGCCAGTGAAGATCCTACTGTGATTGACTATAAGATTGACTGTAAAATATCATCCTCCCTTTAACGGTATCTTTTCCCCTACCTCTACCTCCATGATGCCAGTGCAAGTAACTGTACTGCTGTCTGTGCTTCTGCTCGAAAGAGAATCCTGGCTGCTCCTTCACCTTCCTACTCCTTGATAGCCAGGAATGGCAAACAAAAACAGTGTATTAAATTGAGATGTGCTTTCCTGCAGACATCACTGATCTTTAAATGTAAAGGACAGTGACTAATCTCTTCCATTCTTTCTCTTTTATTAGGGAAATAACTGTCTGTACTGGACAAATTGTAGAAGTATAATATAGAAAAGAATAAGTAGGTATGTGAATAAATGGAATGAGTCAACAGCTTTTGTTGCATCAAATTGTGATCAGAAATCTACTGGAGTTCTTTGAGAGTGTTTATGACCTTGTAAATAAAAAGGATTGGTCAATGTAGCATAGATGGATTTCAAAAAGGTTTCATTAAAGTTCCTCAGTAGGGGTCTTAAAGAAGTGAGACCACCCCTGGATAAGTGAACTGTTTGTTTCATGGATTAATGGCTGGTTATAAAATAAAAAACAAAAGGTAAGGATGACTTTCTGTGGTTGCTAGTGAGGTCTTAAAATGATGTCTGCTAGAGCTTGTTTTGTTCAACAACTCCACATGGCCTCAAAACAGGGAAGAAAACTAATATGGCAAATTGCTGATGATAGAAAATTATCTGCAATAACCAAAGCTGAAGTTCATTTCAAAGAAGTGCAACAGGCTCCCATGACACTACATAATAAAAATGGTAGGAGAAAATTACTGGGAGGGAATCTATGACTTGATAGCTTCTGGAAGTCCGAAAGTTTAGGTTAAATAGATGAGGATTATGCAGCTGGAGCAGATAAAGATGGATATAAGGTGAGATAAAGTTAAAAAATATCAGTTGTGTGGAGAAGATGAACGTGAAGTGATTATTCAGTTTCTTTAAACAAACAAACAAACAAAAACAACAGGAAAATACCTAAATAAATGTGTTGATAGTGGGGTTAAAACATGCAAATTTTTCTTTAGCACAAAATAAAGAATTACTCTGAGGATCACTCATTATCACGAGATATTTCAGAGGCTGAAACCATGAACAGATTGGAAGAAGATCCATTGAGATAAGTTGTTATTTGGCATTGTTATTACACACATTACCTATTTATCTACCTTTCTTTTTTAAAAAATGTCCCTCATTTTAATGGAGCTGTAGGAGTGAACTAGTCAGTTGTTCTTAGCTGAAAGGATGAGGCTATGGTAAGGTCAAACCTTGCATGGGAGACTGGGGATGGTTGTCTATAGAGCCAGGAGGGCTAAAGAAAACAAGATGAAGGAGTCCATGCTGAGTGACTGTGAGCCTGGCATCTGCCCTATTTCAGTTCTAGCTCTTCCTTTCCTGATCCCAGAAGAGCATTAGGAGTTCCTTGGAAAGGTGCTTGGCTGTAAAGGGCATCCAGAAAGCACCCTGCTCCTACTCAAAGACCACTGAAGTCGAAGGGGCTTTTTTCTGCAGCATTTTGGGTTTGCGCTTCAGCTCCCAAAAAACATTATCCATGGCAGATAGCTGCCTGGGAAGCGATGCTACTCTCTCTCAGCCATTAATTGCAGATCCAAATCAGCTGCCCAGATACCAGAGACAAGAAGTATTTGACGTTCCCTGAGGCTGGGTTAGTTCTTGTGCTGAAGCTGCACACAGCCATGTGATACCCCCTTCCTGCTGCCTGCTCGGCACAGCTAAACTGATCAGACTCGGGCCAGTTCTTCAAAGCTTCCATATGTTTCTGATATCTGCTGAAAACCACTCCCCTGATAGTTGTCACTTGTACATTATTAACGAACAAAGATACCATCTTTTTGCATGCTCGCTATCCGCTCCATCCCATAAGAGGCTTTTTTTTTTCCCCTCTTTTTTTCCTTTCCATTCCTTTTTTTTTTTTTCCCAGAGTTATTTAAGAGTGTGTGGGCTGCCTTGTCAAATTGGTTGGGTAATGAAAGGGTATAGAAAACAGCCTGAGACCTGGTACTGGAGACATGTAATTATTTCTGATTTTAAGAGAGCTTGTAAGTTGGATTTTTTTTTCCCGATTATTTGTGCTATGACAATCATATCTGAGTGTTTACCTTTTAGCCTTATCCCATATTTAACAAGCTAAAAAGATGGATGCATTAGCAGGGTTTCTAAGGGGAGAAAAGTGTAATAGAGTTTTTAGTCCCCTTTGCAGCTATGTGAACCTTTCAAAAACACAGGCCACAGACGCTTGCAGTTTCCCTGAGTGACTGTTTAAGTTTTTTTTCATTACATATTTTTTCTGGTGCTGAATATTGTGGAACAAGAGCATCATGGCACAAAGCTGTGGTCTGATAGGGCCCTTTTTATGCAGCAGCGTCAACTCCATATTAATGGCTAGCACAGCTTATGCAGGGACAGCCACCTTTAAATTCCAAATACATCTCCACTTTCATTTAGCTGTGGCAAAACAGAAGATCAGATAACTCTCAAGCCAGACAAGAACACTCCAGGTACCAGAGGCCATGTGTTTCCCACCAGATAATTGAAATCTGCACTGTGGACTGGGGTGAGAGCCAACCTCTCTGCCAGGAATTATTAGGAACAAGATATCAGTGTTGATCTACAAATGTACATTAGAAATGACAGTGATTTCCACAATACAGATAATACTACTCCATATATCCACTTAAAGGGGAGAGAGCTAAGTAAAGCCTTAAGCTGCATCCCTGCATCCCCATGAGCCTAGCTGGTGTTCATTTTGGATTGCAAGGCAAACATCGTAGCATTCATCGAGACCTGCAAACATTAATCAGCTCGTGTTTCCTGCAGTGTGAAGCCCAAGGATGAACCCTTGCCTTTCTTTTTTCTTTATGAATTTCCTATATCTTGAGCCAGACCAAAGCTTTTAAACATAGAAAAATATCTATGCAGAGTTACCAAAACACAGTCTGACTTTTAGAGGCGATCTTCTGCAGCAAGTACTACTGACCATTTTGTGCTTTCACAGCATCTAAAGGTAAGGAGATATTTTAGATGCTTCATTTCAAGGTCACAAGACTTAGAGACATTAATTCAAAAATTTGTGACAGTGTCAGTGCAGATTTCATCCCCCCAACATCCCGCCCCGTAATACACTTGGGTGAGGTAATGGTTAAGTGACTTAAATCCAACAAATATTGAAGTCTGGATTAGTTCGCTCACTTTTGCTTGTTTGTTTTTAACAAACAGAAAAACAAAACCTTTTTTTTTTTTTTTTTTATTCTTCGGAAAATAATTGACATATGTGATGCTGGAAAATTTCCCTGTCTGAAAATCCACACACCTGAAAATCTGAGGAGAAACACTGTATATTTGTACCTTCAGCTGCCACTTCAATTAAAATACCCTGTTGCTGTACAAAAATAGCTTGCCTGTAATTTGTCACCTGTTTTGAGCTGGATTCCAGTTACGTACTTCTGCAACTGCACTGAGAACGGGTGTCAAGAGGCAAGCAACAGCCTACATAAACTGACAATGTTTTTTGAAGGCACAGTGTATTTAATTTGCAGGAAAATACACCAGAGCACAGGGCTGATCGCTCAGATTTTGTCACTGAAAAGCAGAGGCTGTTCTAGACGTAGCCTGGTAGGGAGCAAAGGGGGAAGAAGGCCTCAGAGTTAAGAAAAAAAGCAGATTTCATGACTAAACTAGGGTGAAAATGAGCTGTGATCCATCGGGAGCAAGAGTCTGGCACTTGCCTTACCTTCACCCGTGCTGTTTCCTCTCCTGCTGCTTGAAGATAGCCAAGAGCTTCCTTTTTAATCAAGGACCATTGGAAAGCACCAGCGGGCTCCCACTCACAACGCGTTGATTGGCTTCCAACGGCAGTGACAATTGCATCCTGTAATCAAAATAGCAATCATTAATGGCACAATTATTCCCCCCCTCCCCGCTCCACACGCGTGCACGCACGCTTGTACCACTGAGTAATGACTCCAAGACACAGACTACAAACAATGCAAAATGCACGCCTGGCTCTGGGAAAGACAGGCGCCAGGCAGCCTGGTTTTCTGAGCATCAAACACTCCAGGAAAGCAGGTGTTGATGGCAGGGTCTGCAGACCAAAGGCCTGACTGGAAATCTAAAGGAACTGAGATGGGGATCCGAGGTGATGGAATTGGTTTTGGGCAGCGTCCCTCCTGAGGTTTTGCTCCCTCCAGCAGCTTGTATTCCCAGCACCAACAGTACTCCAGGGCTACCAGAAAGTTGTATCTGGTGGGTGACTGATTTTCTGACTGGCTGAACACAGAGTTGGGGTACTTTATTCTGGAGATGCCTACCCATGCTGTCAGCTTTTCCTTTTTCTTTTACTTCCTGACCTGCTTTCTGCTCCCTGACGTTTCATTACTGCATAGGCCCTTCCCCATCTACACCCCCCACATGGAGGGGGTCTCTTCTCCCACTCTGGACCATGTTCTATCTTATTTGTTTTTTCTCCTCCATCAGTGGCTCAGGAGTCTGCTACTTTAGCATAGCTGCCTTTTCCCTTCCTTTTGAGAGTAAAATAAATCTTTGTAGAAACATACCCCGCTGAATGATAAATTCTTTTAACATTAATACTTGTAAACCAGAAGAAAAATAGAGGTACTAAATGACAATTTCCCTTCTCAAATTCAATTTCTTGGTAGAGCTGGATGGACAGTGGACTTCACGGTTTGCTATAAAGGTAGAAATAAAATAGCAATACAAAAAAAAAGTATGCAAAACATGTATGTATTTTACACTGGGTTGTATTTGATGAAATAAAAATTAAAATAATTTTCTTGACAGCCAGTATATAATACTTCTTTTGCAATTTGATTTCATTCAAGTCTCAGGCTATTTTACTTTAAAAATATTTATAATGAAGCTAAATTTTTAAAAGTTGCTATTTTAAGACAAAGAGGTTGCAAAGTTACACTCTCAAATGTCAAAAAAGAAAGCCGTTGACAGTCTCAAAATCTGCAAATATTTTCGTGTTCCCCAGCAAAGATTTGCACTGAGCCAAAGCCCATTTTGTGAATAAATCTCATTCCTCTAATTTTCAGTTTAGTTTTTTAGCTTTACTCCTCATAACCAATCATTCACTCCTAATGTTTATGCCATTATTCTCCCTTTATAAGCATCCTTAAACATTCTTGAGGGAATCGAAGTCTGGAGGAGTCCAGCTTAGAGCAATTAATCTAAGAGATTCTCTATAAATACAAATTGGAGCTCTTTGTGGAGCAGTGAAGATCCCACTAGCAAACGATGCCCATTTCCAGTAGGCACAGGTAATGCAGAAGGTCTTACCACTCATGTTTGGTGACAGCAACTGGATATTGAAGCAACAGACCTTCTTTGCTGATCTAGCACTGGGTTGGAACCGGGATCTACAGACAGGAAAAGGCTTCAATATAATGGGTGGGTAACTGGAGGGGCTGAATCTATCAGCCTGACAGGCTGCAACATTCCACCAGCACTAAACTACCTTCATATACAGCTTGATAAAAAATAAATAAATAAATATATATATATATATATATATATATATATATATATATATTTTTTTTTAAGAGAGAAAGAGAAAGAAAGCATTATTTTCATTTTCTGGGAAATAATGAAGCACATCCTAGATTGTTTATGAAATTCTACTCATGTATAAATCTTTGAATAATAAATTCATGGATTCCATTTACTCTTTTGCAATGCATTTTCTGGATATGCTCTCATGGCATCATATTTTGGTTCTTTCTTTCTTTTCTCACCTGATTTGCAAGTGTCTGCTGGTAAAGATACTTCATAAAGTAATCGGTGTAAGACAAACACAGGTCCCTCATGTTGGGAAAAACATTTTCTTGTCAGCCTGCATCAGACTGACTTAGCAGCAAATCATTAGCAAGAAGTAAATCTCAAGAGTTTGGAATTTCATTCAGTTCATTCCAGATAAATGTTTAATTGTGTTTGTCCTTAGTACTTTTCTCTGGGATTACCCCAATATACTTGGGATATATTTGGTCTGGAAAAGAGACTGAGGATTTGGGAGTCTGAATCAGTTTGGCAGAGCATGCAAATCAAACGCAGAATAAACCAGTGATGCCCACTTGTTGCACTCGGTAGCTTGTCGAGGCATGGTGTGATTGGATTTAGGACCTACAGTGGAGGAAAGCAGAAAGAGAACTTATTTGTACCTACAGGAACTGCACGGACAGACTCATTAGGTCCAGTTGCCGTTTTTATCAAGACTCATCTGCCCGTGGTCATTTAAAGCCAGTTTGAGGGTTGCTTTTATTATTGCCATAAAGCCAGTTCGAGGGTTGCTTTTATTATTGCCAGACAGAGGCAGAGCAAACTTGGTGCAAAGAAGAGCCAGCCCCATGGTTCGCTCAACTGAACAGGGCCAGCACAGAAGGTCCTCAACTAAGGTCCTGCACATCTTCCACCCACACCTTCACCATTCATCCCTCAGGCAGTCCTGCTTCCAGGGAGTGGGTGCTTTTGGGACTGAGACCGAGTGCAGGAAAAGCCAAGCTTTCCAAACCTCAGAAATAGTTTGGGACAGTTTTAAGAGGTTGTTTTGTCACAGTTTGCCCACCTGTCTTCAGAGCCCTGCAGCAGAAAGGAGGACCTAAGATTTAAGAAGAGGAAAAGTCTTTCCCTGCTTGATTCTATTAATAAGTACTTTTCTGTACTTTTATTTTTTTTTTTCCCCAGGCACAAGCACTTTTTATTGTCAGCAAGTGCTTTTGACCTATATCAGGGATTTCAGCCAACAATGGCTATCAACCAGGGCACATACCAACTCTCAAAGAGCATAACAGCTCCCTAAGCCACAATTTTCCAGCAGCTGGACTGGTGGAAAGAAGGCCAAGATCTTCACAAAAGCAAACACTGTCTTACAGAGGCTTTGCCCTAAGGGGAACTGTACGCTGCTACAGCCACTTCAGTCACAGGGTCCAAGGCAATTCCCAGTGCAGAAAAAAATAAAAAAATAAATAATAATAATAATTGGCTGGCTCCTCTACTACATGAACAGACACAAAAGCACAAACGTGCAGTACCGCCTTTTCTTAAAGTGCATTATTATTAATGGGAAATAGCAGCCAGATCCATCATGTTCAGCATGCCCCACATCACCGCTTCACTAAACACCACAGATTATATCCCTATAATTGCCTTCCCGAGCTGTCTAGCAGCCTCGATTCATTTCCATTAAGGCTCAGAAGGATGAGATCATTTAATATTTCTCCATCGCCCCCTTTACATTTCCCCCCCATTTTTGTAAATTTGGCAATTATGTGCTCACTGCCATCCCCTCAGTCACACAAGTTCAAGTTTAGCACTTGGTATTGCAGTGCAGCAACTGAAACAACAGTGAAGTAAAGAGTGAAATTTTCACCGTGTGCTTTCCCCCTTAACTTGAGAAGGAAATTTTATAGTTGTGCCTAGCAAAATCAGGCGTACAACAGCTACATTTCTGTGCACTTTGCACAAAACAGCTCAATGGACTAGTGAAGAGGAGTGAAATAACCCATGGAAGAAAGCACGCAGCCTGATATCACCCAAGAACCAACACCAAATTTGTAAGTCTTCTGCTGATTTTTGGCTTTGGCAGCTGCACAACATTAATTAAAAATATTCTGGATGTAGATAAAGTTTCTGCACTCAGAAGTTATCATTAATGCCTCATCTGAGCTGAAAGGTGAACTGCACATTTTTTGATAAAATGGATTGAAAGCTTTGCCCAGTTTCACCAAGCATCTGCATCTTCCTTTTGAGGATGTCTCCCCGAAGTCTGTGTCATCTCCTGTGCTGTAACTGTGCACGAGGAGTGTGGTTGTCCTCCAGCCCTGAAAGAGCCTCCACCTGCTCATATCAACAAAAATACTTGCATGTGTTAGGATGAGATTGGATTCGATGCCAGGATCATCTCCTCATAGAATCATAGATGTTAAATGAGCAATCCCCCCATCAGACATGTACAAATCCTTGAACTTCTGCCAGTCTGGAAGGATTGCTAATGTCTGTATTACAGCTTCAGTGCTGGCTTTGTCTCTACGCAGACACTCACTGATGCTCTGCTTTTGAAAATGGGATTCAAAATGCCACGTTGCCATTTCTGTTCTTTTCCTTAATTTTCTGCGTATGAGTTTTTTAATTCTGATTTTTTTTTTTTTCATTCTGATAACTGGTAATCTCATAAAGGAGATATCAGATATTTTAAATCTCTCCTGTTCTGGCAATTATTACCCTTTGATGCAGAGATCTTTGATGTTGCCTCTACTTTTTTTTTCGTTTATTCCCCATGTCCTTGTTGTCAGACTCTTCCCTGATCTGAACCCGTACTCCCCCAAAATGATAAACCTGAAGGTTCAAGAGGATCCCCATTAGTGCAGAAATGCATGGTCCATATTGACAGCTCCCTGGGGACATGGGCAGCAAAACTGTGCACTATTGTTATATAAAAGAAGGAAACATGAATACCAAGAAGGACAAATTTTACAGGAAAGGGATTTGCATGATTCGCCTCCAAAAATAATTAAATAAAAATAAATGACCTAGCACAGACTTATGCAACACTTGGCCAGCTCCTAATTTTGACTTCAGTGGAATGTAATGATTTACATCAGCTGGATGTCTGTCACTATACAGACATATTAGGATCTGACAGAAAATTATCAGTTTGCCCATGCTTAAAATACCCTGGAGATGAGGAGGAATTCAGGTATAACAGAGCTGAAACATTAAACTGCCTCTTTGAAGCTCCTGGATGGAAAGCCACCCTCTAAGGACCCAGTTGCACATCATTTGGGGAGCAGCAGCGAGATGCCCTTGGCTTCAGATCACTAACAGAGGTGTGAGGGCATTTTTAAATCTAGGTACTCAGAAGCCACGGTCTACTTTCTGTCCTTAGTAGTGAGACCATTCCCTGAACCCTGCCATCCCAAGGCAGGAAGGAAAGGCAAGAAGGCACATCATTTCCCAAGGACAGACATAAAGGAGAGCAAGGCAAAGATACAGGAGTGGGCACACTGACATTTATCAACCCACATGCTAATGAGAGGGAAAGCAAGAGGCGTTAGAGCAAGTGCCATGGAGACCAGTGCATCAGGAGGCTCCACAGGGATGATCTTCCTGCAGCCCTCTGCTGCCTCCTGCCTCAAGGCAGCACCAAGGCTCAAGAGACCCAAACCGTGCTGGGCTGGCTCATCTAATGGCTAACAAGAAGGGGCCACATTTCCACTGCATAAAGCCTTTTATTTAATTTTTTAAGGCAATCAATACACCCCTAATTATACTGTTCCCTTCTTTGCCCTTGTTCAGATCTGTGTCAGCCCAATAATGTCACCAAGTGGAATAGACACAAGTTTTACTAGTCCTCCAGGGCTATTATGCCAAATGAGGAATTGCTACATATTCACTTGCAAACAGCTGCTAATGTTTAATTTTTTACGTAAAATGCTTTGGAAATAGAGATGCAATGCACTGAGCAGCTGTTAATGCTCTGTTTTGCTTGTGCAC